CTGCCCCCTGAGCTGTCTCCCTGTGCATAAGCAGCCCTTCTTTCTCCCATGATTGTTCTCTCCAAGGAGTGTATCTACTTGAGGCAAATGTTCAACTCACATGCCTATCTTTTGTTTGGCTGGAAACCACAGGTCTGGAACCACAATTCCAGACCTGAAGGGCAGCTAGGGGCCATAGTCTCAGTGGTTCCACCGGGCTTTATCGGACCAGCAAACCTGGTCCTCCTTCCCTTTTTTTTTTCCTCCAAATGATTTTGAGTTTTGTTCCACATTGTTCTCCCTCTCTATCAGGGATCTCCATGAGTATTTTTTGTGGTAGCTACTGGAGTAAGAAGTGCATTTGTTAGGATAATGAACTGTTTCTTATGAGTTCCCAAAACAGAGATGATCTTTTTTTTTTTTGAGGTTGAGCTAGGAAAATCTTTCGGCTCCATAATTGCTATTGCAGTTGGTTTTACAGTAGTCCTTGAGGCTGGCTGGCCTTTTGCCATATGTCAAAGCATATTATAGAAAACAGTCTTCTGCTTGAGTCTTCTCAGAAGACCCCCAAGCTAGTTTGTGCTAGCAGCCTCCCTTTTTGCAACCTTCTAGAATTATCAGCAGGAAAGAGGAAAGCCAGCAGCAGTTCCTCCCAGTTTGGCTCAGGAAGTGACTGTTTGAACTGAGCCTCCAAGCTTCTCAGACCCTTTTGGTTTTAAAGATGTGAGGTGAAGAAGAAACACATTTCTCCTTCTAATGAATGGAACTTTTTTCCTCTAATATCAAATGAGAATATTGGGTTAGTGTGATTTGGTTGACATCTGGCTGGGAGCTAGCTATATTCTTCATTAGAATTGTGAAAGCAAATCAGATAATTAGTGTCTATGTCTGTAGTTTGACTCACAGTAACATTAAGGCTTTTATGATTAATAGAGTTTGACATATATTCGATATGTATATACAGTTCTTACGTGGCATTAAAAAAAAAAAAAAGAGTATTGGTTGAAGTTCATTTTTTATTTTTTCCCCTTCAGGTTTATACCACGACATACCCAAGTTTGCAGCAAAACAAGTATCGCCAATATGCAGTGGTTAATGAAGTGATTTCCCAAGTCTATGACATGAGGAGGGATCTTTTGGAAAGTCTGAAGCTGCAGGATGACAGGGACTTGGCAGATTTGCCGGAAGACACTGGCACCTCAGAGCCCCCCTTTCAGTGCTACCATCCAGTCCTCACACAGTTAAATGCCAACATGGAGAAGACTCCCAAGCCCTTCTGTGTAGGGAATGTGTTTTATGTACCTCTGGAAAGACTCTTTTCATTGCCTAAAGTGAAACATTTATGTATTGACATAGAGATGCTGAAAACTCTAATTGCTGATGCAGTGATGTTGAACAGTGATGGTTCTGCAGTGATGGTTGACATCCATGATGAGGATAATGATGACTGACATCCTTATTTCTTGAAATTCAGGGTCTTAGCAATATTTAGACACCTTTAGATTTAACCAATTTTTTTGTGTAGTCATAATTCAGGTAACTTTCTTTTTTAAAATGCTGTTTTGATAGAAAAGTTTGTCTTCCAGGCTGATGGCCAGATGGCCAGATTGCTTGCTATAAAACAGAAAAAGATATTAAGGCTAAACCAACGATGGTATGCTTTCCTTTGAAATTAAAATTTTTCTTTCATATTTTCTCAAGAATGAAAGAATAGTGAATATGGTAATATTTTACAAATTGTTAATTTAGAACTTATCTATCTAACTTACTTAAAAATTTTTTTGGAGGGAGTAGAGTATGGTATGATACATGATGTTTTTGTTCCTTACGTAAAATTACATATGTTAGAACCATACACTTAATGTGACATTAAAGATTTAAAAGAAAATTGAATTGTTAAATACAATGTTTGTAACGTTTCTACAGGCATAACCAAAATAAATAAATAAATAAACAGTAGCTTTAAAATCTTCTTAGGACTCTATATACTTTGGGTTAAATTTTGCCCTGTGTGCTTCTTAGCCTACAAATTCATACAAAATAAAAGCACAGTGTTTGAATGAAGGGCATAGAAGCTTCCTTGTGATATAACCACTGTCTATTGGATCACCCTACTCTCCAGGATTGGATTAGGTGTGATAATAGTAATGTATAGCAACAGGAGAGAGAGAAATACAGCCTCAACCAATAGGGGGAAAAACAAACAGTGGTTCTTTCTGAGGCAGCAGGGGTCCATAAGTAAGCAGACCAGGTAAGGACAACCATAGGGACCCAGGGACTCCATCTTGCTGTTCTGCCATAGGTAGTGTGCCATCTCAGGGACAAAGATGAGGGTTTCAGCTCCAGCAATCAACTGCATATTCCATAGTCCAATCAGCAGAGAGGAGAAAGATTTTTTTTTTTTTAATGGGGGGATGGAAACAAAGGGTGTGTGCCAACTGTCTGGTAAGAAGGCTTCCTGAAAGCTGGTTGACAGAACTGCTGCCCGCTTGTTGAACCGAATGAAGTCTCATGGCTACATGTAGCAGCAAGGTAAGTTGGGAAGTGTAGCCTTAATTTCAGAGGACCATATGCCCACTGCATGGTCTAGTTAGCTCTGGGAGCTTTGATCTTGGGTTCTTGTTTTCCACCACAAAAGAATTTATGCAGAAAATGAAAGTTAAGCAGTGCGCCAAGTTTATTGAAATGTTCTCACAGACAAGAATGGGCATCCACTGCAGGCAGTAGGGAGCCCCAGAAGGTGTGACATTTCTCCTACTCAATTTTGCTTCCTGGTGCTGTTCTGAGTCTTCCTCTTGCTCCCCCTTTTGGGGTGGGAGGTTTAGCGTGATTGACACTTACGGATTATATAACTTGGTGGGTTACCACACATGCGTTCCCATCATACACTTGGTTTGCCCACGGGTGTGTGTGTGTGTGTGTCAAAACCGCAATGCTAATTAATTATAATGATACTATAATGAATCTTAACGTTAATAGAAGGCACACTTTAGTGCTCATGCCTTGTGGCTTGGAATTCCCCTTATGGGCTGTGGCTTAGCCCACAGCTAGCTTCTCTCACTCCAATTCATTAGGACCCTCTCTGGGCTTCTCCTGCTCTCCTACCTGACTGACTGCCTAATGTTCCCTACTCAAGGAGTTAGGACCCAGTTCATTGGGAAATAGGACATCGGTCAGTCTGGCTACTTCCTGCTGAAGTTTTGGGCATTGTCATGGGGCATTGAGTCCACCCCTTGCTCTCTTGATGGTCAGGTGGCCATCAAGGGGTCCTAGATAGATGGAGGGTTGAGCTGTTTCTAGGCAGCAATTGTCACCAGGCACCTGCAGAGAGGATCATTTGTAGTTTTATGGCTTCTATTCTGGAAGCAACAGTGGGTAAGAAAGTTTAGTAGCATGGGGCCTAGGGCCAAGGTGATAATAAAGATTACTGTAAGGAGCTCTGATGGTGCTTAAGGCGCTTGACTGCTAACCAGAAGGCTGGTGGTTCAAACCCACGAGCCACTCCTCAGAAGGAAGGTTGAGCAATCTACTTCCATAGTGGTACTGCCTCAGAAACCCAAGGAGGGGTCGCTATGAGTTGGGTCTGACTACAACGGCACATAACAACAACGACACATAACAACAATGACAATAGGGACTACTAGAGGGAGAAGCAAACATGAGTCAAGAAGGAATTCCAAGGGAGGAGTTATTTTTTATCCTAATGGTGGATTCCAGAATGTTGTTTATGTTTTCCTGTACTTGCCTTGAATTGTTGATACAGAAGTTTTGGGAGATAATACGCAGGTCCCCCCCTCGGCCACTGTTCATAAGTCCAGGGCTCTTCTGTTTGGGAGGGCCGCTCCTGCTAGTGAATCTAGTTTTTCCTGCAAGAGGGCTAGAGTTTCGCTAGTTGTTGCTAGAGCTTTTGCCATCTCTTTAGCTATGTTCTGTTGTACTCCTAAAGAGGTTCCTCCAGTTGTCATTCCTGCTGTATAGCTAACAAAGTGAGTAAAGAAATAAGTGGAATAAGGGGGCCTGTATGTTCGACTAGTTGGCCCTGTGACCTTTGTGGAAATGGGAGGGGTGCATTACTTTGGGCTATTTGAGTATCTGTGAGTACATCTCCCAAGGAGCAGGTTCCTCTCCATCGGGGGGGGGGGGGCAGGAGGGAGAACCCAGTAGGCCTTTGTGCCACAAATCCAGTAGATCTCCTCCTGGGGATCTAGCTATGCCCAGATGTTGATTTTGGAAGTATCTGAGGATTACGTTCTCCTGTGGCATGTCGTCCCCTTCCTTTGAATTTTGTTCCCCACCATTCCACTCCTTGTGAAGCAAAGGTGGTAGAAACCAAAGGATCTGATAAAGGGTGGACTATTGAAGCAGTAATGTATTCAGTAATTAGAAACCTTCATTTGGGACTAAAATGAAGGGCCCATGAAGAAGTCCTGCCTAATGTAGGGCATTGAGTCCCTGCTTTTTGGTCTAAGAAAGTGTTTAGGCCCCTGGCTGGCCTTCCTTGGCAGCATCAGGAAGATATGTTTGGAATGGGTGGGATAAGTACTGAAGGATGGGGTAATTTGTTCTTAGGGTCTATTGAAGTGTATTCAGGACTCGTACAAGAGGAGGTTGAGCACAAAGACCTTCTGAGGTGTTAGTATAAGGTGAGGGAGTTATTAGGAAGGACTGCTGAAATTGTGCAGGTGGGAGTATTCCCATAGGTGTTCCTTCACTAGAATTATTGCGTGTTATGCAGATAGGAAAACGGGTTGGTTTGGTGTTAGCTATAAAGGAGAATATGACCGCTTTAGGGGGTGATATAGTTGAGGTGGAAGGGGTTACAGGTTTTATAAATAGTTTCTCAATTTTGATCCTTGCTGTTGCCCCCCAAGTATAAGGAAGATAAGTTATTTGGTTCATGGGTGAAGATATGTTGTCCCAACTTTTTGGGAGATGGGTTGCACATATCCCCAACTTCTACTGGAAAGGCATAGCCAGCAAGTTCTATTTAAACGGACGTAAGGAACTCTGAAGGAGCTCTGGTAGCATAAGTGGCTAAGGCAATTGACTGCTAACCAGAAGGCCAGTGGTTCAAAGCCACCAGCCACTTGGAAGGAAGGGTTGGGCAATCTACTTCCGTAGTGATACCACCTCGGAAACCTAGGGAGGGGTCGCTATGAATTAGGTCCGACTCGATGGCATACAACAACAACAACAACAACAACAAAGGAGGTCTGATGGTGTAGTGCCTAAGGCATTTAACTGCTAACTGGAAGGCTGGCGGTTCAAACCCACCAGCCGCTCCTTGGAAGGAAGGTTGGGCAGCCTACTTCTGTAGAAATCCTGCCTCATAAACCCAAGGAGGGGTCACTATGGGTCAAATCGACACAACAGCAGTGAGGTTTTTTCAATGAGCTGTGGAATTAACTAATTCCAAAGCTTTGGGGGAGTATGGAATCATTACTTGGGACAGGCTTATCTGAATTAGGAGGGTTCCTGTGAAAAACCATCTGTAGGCCCTCCAGAGGTTCACATGAATATTTGTGTGCCATTTCATTTGATGAATTGTGACAAGGAGATTAGCACAATTTCACTCTTGAGTGGTGGATCCGGATACTGTTTCCTGGTATCTTGACTGCTGTAGGGGTAGAGAGCAAAACAGAGTAAGGTCCTTTCCAAATAGGTTGAAGCTGTGAGTTAGGAGACCCATCCATCCTTCCAGGCCTTGATAAGGACTAGATCTCCTGGAGCGCAAAGAGGAACTTTCTTCTCTTCCTGCATTGAGGTTGTACTCTTGCTGGATGGCTTGTTGAAACTGTGCTACAGCAGTAGTATATAGGTAGAGGCCTGTTATTTCTGTGTCCATGTCTATATGGGAGGAAAGGAAAGGGCTCCCATACAGGATTTCAAAGGGGCTCAAGCCATTGTCCCTCTGGGGGTTGAGCAAACTCCAAGGAGAGCAATGGGGAGAGCTACTCGCCAGGTCATCTGGGTTTTCTGCATAATTTTTTGAATAGTCTGTTTGAGGTGTTGATTAGCCCTTTTAACTTGACCAGAAGGCTGGGGCCTTGGGCACAGGGTAAGTAGTAAAATATTCCTAGTGTTTCCCAGACTGATTGGGATATTAGGGAGGTGAAGGACGGCCCGTTATTGCTCTGGAGAGACTCAGGAAGTCCAAAGCTGGGGATGATTTTTTTCTAACAGTCTTTGGACAACTTCCCTAGCCCCTTCAATGTGACGGGAAGCTTCAATTCAATAGGTAAAAGTATTCAGAAGGAGAGGTTTATGACTAAAATGTGTGGTATGGAGGGCTTTAGTCGTCTTTCAGTAGAGTCCCTCAGGTTTAGTATATTTGTGATTTTATGGTTGGTTTGGATAGTGATCGGCTGTCCTAGTGTAAATTTAGTTGCTTCCTGAACTAAGGTGGCCATTGCCGCAACTGCCTGTAGGCAAGAGGGCCACCTGTGGCAAT